GAAGGGGAGGGGAAAGAAGGAAAAAGTAAAAAGGGATGGAATAGGGAGAAGCGAGGGGGGGAGGGAAAAGGGAGGAGGATAAAGAAGGGGAAAGGAAAGGAAAGGGAAGAGTGAAGAAGGAGAAAGAGTAAGGAAAGGAAGAAAAGGAATAAAGGGAGAAGGGAAAGAAAGAGGAGAGAGGGAATAAGGGGAAGGAGGTGGAATGGGGGAGAGTGGGTATTGTAGGGGGGGAAGGCATAGAGAAAAGGAAGGAGGAGGAAGAGACAGGAAATGGGGAGCGAAGAGCGGGTAGAAATGGGAAGGGAAAGGAGAAGAGGAAAGGAATGGAATGGGCAGAGGAGAGAGGAGAATGGAATGGGGAGAGGAGAAAGGCAAGAAAGAAGGAGAAAGACGTGTAAAAGTGATGAAACGAGGAGAGGAGAGAGGAAGAGGGGGGGGGGGGTGGAGACCGGTATAGAATGGGGAGAAGGGAGATTGAGGAGGAATAAGAGAAAATGAAAGAGGGAATGATAGGGATTGGGGGAGAAAGAAGGTAAAGGAGGAGAAAGAGAGTGTAACGCTAAAAGAGGAGGAAAGGGGGGCGGGGGGGGGGGGAGAAGAACGTGGGAGGGGGGAGGGAAGACGTAAGGGTTGGGAGGGGGGGGGGGAAACGTGGGGGTTGGGAGGGGGGGCGAGATGTGATGTTAAGGAGGGGTTAGGGGAAGGGAGAAGGAGATGGAATGGAAGAAGAAAGGAATGGGGAATTAAGAAGGGAGGAAGGAGAGGAAATAGAGAAATAGGGGAAGAAGGAAAAGGAATAGGAAGTTAATCTAGAATGAGTGAATGGGAGTTAAGAAAGGAAGGAAATAGAGAGAACGGAGAGGTTGGGAGGAACAGAGAGAGGAATGAGGGAGGAAGGGGAAAGGAGTGGATAAGAACGAAAGGGGAAGAGAGCTAAGTAGAAATGGGGGGAGAGAGGGAAAGGGAAAAGGAAGGGAGAGGATAAGGAGGAATAAGGAGAGGAGAGATTAAGAAGGAAGGAGGAGGAAAAGTAGGCAGAGGATAGGGCATAAGGAAGAGAGTGATTACGGAATAATGGAGGAAGTTAAGAAGTGTGTGTGTGGGGGGGGGGGGGGGCGGGGGATTACGAAGCAAATGAGGTGAAAGGGAGGCTAAGAAAGTAAAAGAAAAGGAAGTGGAGTCAAAGAAGAAATATAAGGAAGAGGTGGAGGGAGGAGAGGGGAAGGAGGAGGGAGGAGAGGGGAAGGAGGAGAAGGAAGGGGAGGGAAAGGAGGAGGGAGGGGGTGATAGAGAGACTGGGGGGGGGGGGGGGTCAGGAAGGAAGGAGGGGAGAGGAAAGGACAGGGTTAAGAAGGAAAGAATGAGGGACAGATGAGAGAACGGTGACGAAGGAAAGAGAAGGAGCAGGGAAGGATAAAGAGAGGAAGAGGGTGGAGAAGGAAAAGGGAAAAAAAAAGAGAGAGAAGGAATGAGGGTAAGAGATATCCTTCGCTCAAAATATGTCCTATTTTTCTTCTTCATTTTTATAAGAGTCTATTCTTCGTAAAAAATAATAATAATAATAATTTTTTTTTTTTCTAAGTAAAGGGATTATAGAATTATTGAACAAATCAACCCCTACCCCCCCCCCCAAAAAAAAAAAAAAAAAAAAAAAAAAAAAAAAAAAAATATATATATATATATATATATATATATATATATATATATATATATATATATATATATATACATATATATGTGTATATATATATATATATATATATATATATATATATATATATATATATATATATATATATGGCAGCGTATTTAATAGAACAAGAACCCGACAATTTCCTCTTAGATTAAACGTAATAAATACACTTTTTTCTTAAGTTAACAACAAACACTGACTCCGCCACAGAGCCAAGCCGAAGAATAATTGAAAAATGAGATACCCGGATGATTTCATTTACCTCCCGGGCCCACACTTTCTTCTATAGGCACTAGGCTGTAGCAACGACCCCCCCCCCCTCCCACCTCCCACTTTCATCTCCATTATCCCTGCGCCTTCTCCCCTTTTCCCTTTTAATTCCTATCTTTATCATACAGTCTTCCCTTTTCCTGTTTTCTCTTCTTATACGCTTTTATCCTTCCTTCTCTCTCTTATTTCCTTTTTTTTCTCTTATTATTATTATTGTTACTCTTTCTCCCCGTTCCTTCTCATCATCTCCTTCTTCTTCTCTTTACCTCCTCCTTCCCAACAAAACCAGATAGAAAGATAAATAGACGAATCAAAAGAAAGATATACAGAAAAAGTCGAATATATAAAACACCAAAAAACAAAACAAACAAACAAACAAATAAGCAGAGACACAAGTAAACAAAAAAAAACACATCAACGAATGAAAACCTAAATAACTAAAACAAACAAAGACAAAATAAACAGAGACGCAACTAGGCAAACAAACACAACACAAACAGAGACACAAAACAAACAAACACAAAACAAACAGAAACGCAACTAAGCAAACAAACAGAGAGACAACTAAACAGAGACGCACCTAAACAAACAAACAAAAAAAAACACAAACAAAACGAAACCATAAGTACCTAAAACAAATAAACGGAAAGTCTCCGAGATGAACAAACGCAAAGGAAATTTTCCCAACGCACAATATATTCCAAGAGGTCAGGAAAGCCGCACTTTGCCGAGCCTTTGCAATCACAGAAATAGAATTGTCTCCCCTCCCCCCCCTCCCTCCCCCTCTCCCCTTCCTCCCTTCCATTCTCTTAATGTATGTACAATAAGATGATCATTAAGGTGATAATGCACTACACTTAGTTACCATCACTAATGAGCTCATCTAGGACAGGGTGAGTCAATGTTGCTGTTGTTGTTGTTGTTGTTATTGTTGTTTTTTTGCTGCGTTTGTTTGTATGTATGTATGTTGTTGTTTTTCAAGGAGTTTGATTTTGAAATTGAGTTTAGATTTATCAAATCTTTTAATTTTCTTATTATGTTTTTTATCTTTTTTATTGTTAATCGCACCTTTTCTACACTCTCACTCTTTCCCTTTTATTTCTTTTATTTTCAAAGAGAGAAAGAGAGAGAGAGAGAGAGAGAGAGAGAGAGAGAGAGAGAGAGAGAGAGAGAGAGAGAGAGAGAGAGAGAGAGACGGAAAGAGAGAGAGACGGAAAGAGAGAGAGAGAGAGAGAGAGAGACGGAAAGAGAGAGAGAGAGAGAGAGAGAGAGAGAGGGGGGGAAGGAGGGGGAGTCATATAATACATCTGTTTATTTGTTCTGAAAAAAAAATCTTTTCCTTTTTACCCTTTCTCCCTTCCCTTCATTAACTTTATTTCTATCAAATCTTTCCATGTTTTATCAATTATGTTCTTTCTATATTTCTCTTTTCTCTATATACTCTTCCTTTGTCTTTTCTTGCTGCCTGCCTACTGATTTTCTACTCTCTTTCTCTATATATCTATCTATCTAGCTCTATCTTTATCCCTCTCTATGTCTCTCTCTTTACATATAAACAAATCTGTTTATCCTCCGCCCCCCCCCCCGTCTCTCTCTCTTTCTTTCTGCCTTATTTTCCAATCTATTTATGTCTTATATCATACTCCCATCCTCCTCCTCCTTTAATTCACTCTAATTCTTACCTCTTCTCAATTATTCCCCTTCCACCCTTTATCTCCCTTTCCCCTTTTCTACATTCTGCATCTTTTCCCCATCGTTTTCCTGGCGATCTATTGCATAATACTGTCTCATACGGCTAAAACTCGCTATGAATCCGTAAGCTTGGAAAAACGTTCTTTAACTGGGTTCACTGATCCGGATTCTCGTTTATGCGAACGGATAACGGGACTTCGCGAACGTCAACAAAACGCCAATGTTTACATTATACCTGTGAGGTTTGGGTTGCCGCTGGACTTCGTCTGTGTGTGTGTATATGGGTTTGGAGGTACATATGTGTGGATTTGTGGGCATATGTGGGCGAGGTATATGTATATATATATGTATATGTATGTATGTATATATATATATATATATATATATATATATATATATATATATATATATATATATATATATATATATATAATTGAGAAGAGGGAAAATTAGAGTGAATTGAAGGAGGAGGATGGTAGCATGATATATATATATATATATATATATATATATATATATATATATATATATATATATATATATATATATATGTGTGTGTGTGTGTGTGTGTGTGTGTGTGTGTGTGTGTGTGTGTGTGTGTGTATAGATTGATAGATAGATAGATATGACTGTAGGTATATAGATATATACGTATATGTACGGACATGTATATATATATATATATATATATATATATATATATATATATATATATATATATATATATATATATATATATATATATATAAATATGCATACACACATACATACATATATATATTTCTTTCTTCACATCTCGCGTTGTCCTTGCATAACGCGTATCTTTTCCATACTCTACTCCAGAATAAAGCACATCTCACTTATCATAATCAAGAGCTAATCCAGACCTACTTTCTTCATACTTCTCTTTCGTATCACCATAATGTCTGTTGGGCGCCGGAAAATATTTTGTTTTTGATTAAATCATAATGTCTTCAAGGAGTGGTATTTTTAAAATTATTTCTTTCTATATGTTGTATGTTTTCTGTCTCTCTCTGTTTCTGTCTATTTGTCTGTCTCTCTATCTCTGCCTCTCTCTCTCTCTCTCTCTCTCTCCATCTATCTATATATCTATTTATATCTTCTCATCTCTTCTCCGTCTGTCTCACTTTCTTTCCTCTTCCATTTCTAATTCACCTCTCTTCTCTCCTCTGTCTCTGTCTGTCTGTCCGTCTGGCTCTGTCTGTCTGTATGTCTGTCTCTCTCTCTCTTTCTCTCTCTCTGTCTCATTTTCTTCATCCCAACTACATTATCCAATAAAATTTATTGCCTTTAACCATAAT